GAAACTCCTCTTCTCTGCTTGTGTTTTGCATTTGGAACAAATTTCTTTTCAGGTGGGGAGGGGGAGTAGAACTCCTTAGCATCAGAGCGTGTTAATGATAAGAAATACTAATGCTCTGATGGTCATTTCGAAAAATCCTTTCTTAGTGAGCACCTAGAAGCCAAGAGGAACATATGTGCCAAATTTCAAGTTTGTAGGCTTTTACAGTTCTGGAGATTTTGTGATGATGCATGAGTGGTATTTTGCTTTTATATATAAAATCCCGATAATTTCAATGGACCTTAGTTCCTGTCAGTAAATACAGAATGCAATCTAAAGTAACAAAAAGCCCTGGATTCTTTGTAACGCTGTTTAAATTACGCAGCCTCAGCTTCAATCTTGACAATAAGGATTGCATTCACAAGTCATATTTGAACCCAGACAAAAACTGCAAACTAGCTTCATCATATTTAATGCATTCAAAATAATAACCTCGAAGCTATACTAAAAATATTTTAATGCTTAATTCAACAATATGTACACGTTAGTGTATTAGTATGTACAGGTACCTCAGTATATTTAGGAGAAAGGTATAGCATATCATTGAACTACTCTTTGAAAGGTGCATGTTTTCATTCTTGTTGAATGTGTTGCTGCTGCTCTTTAAAGCCCACAAGATGAACAGCAAACTCCCCTTTCCCACTGCTGACTAGTGCAGCCATATAGGCACAGTTATTCAGGGTGCATTCAAAAGGGAAAGAGAGCCAAGCATGACTGCCAAAGGGAAACACAGCCTAATCCAAGCCATAGTGAGCGCTGGAAAAAAGAAGTGAGATTTTCAAACCATTCAGTAAACTAGATGGGCTTTGCTCTGACTCATCTTCTTTTGTTATTAGAGCATATGAAAAGTAGCTTTTTATTTAGCCCTTTTTTTCTCCATAGTTCAAGTAACTAATTACTGCACCACATATTCCTTTCTTCTGCTATATGTAGACTAATTACCCTTTCAGGGGATAATTATTTCCCTCCCTCATCCCCAAATTACATTTTCTACCTTCCAAAGAGACAGAACAAGCAATGCTAAACATTTTCCACTTTTCTCATTTCATGAATGAGAAAAATGAGAGTGAGATATCATATCCTGAAATTTTAAGATAAAAGCCATTTAATATGCTAATCTGCGCAATAGCATCAACCAGTACAGGTTGAGAGCACATTGTAAAATAGTATCTGAGCCATGAAAATAACATTTTGTCTCCTTTGGAAATGTACCCTACATGAATATGACTTGCTCTTCATATATGTTATAAGTAATAAGCCCTAAAATGTAATAAACAAGCCCTTAAAGGCTGAGGAGATATGCATGGCATTCAGTGACTTTAAAGCAGGCTAAAACAATGAAGCCAACTTGCAAATCGTCATCTACAAAGCTGAGGCTCAAGCGTCCTTACACTGACACTCCATGTTAAGTCCCTTTCCCTTCCAAGACAGATTTCATTACCATGTTGCACTTAAATGGCACAAACCGTTAATAACAAATTTGATTGTCAGTCAAGCTTTGTCAGTACTGCCATAAATGGTGAATTAACGTAACAGTGGAAAGGAGGAAAAATGGAAGCAAAATAGACTTGGAAAAATGAAGGTATGCAATACAGGGTTTTGCCATAATTTGTGCCAATTCTTCTAGTAGTTGATCATTAAATACTTAAAGAAACATTTTTGCAAGGGGCGCTTCATGGGTTTGATCTGCAAATTAAACTAGTTCAGTCACTCATTCAAATGCTTATTTGAATATTGTAAACAAATCAAAAAGCTACTCATAGGTTGATTGTTACACTGGCTTAATATTTTAAATATCCCAGTTGATATTGAGATCACTATTGACTCACTGACAAAGTAATGCTGCCCTGCTGTCTAAACTGAATTACTCGGATATCATAAACAGATTTAAAAGTTTTTTTTCTTGAAATGGTTACCTCAAAAATGAAAGAAACAGGCTGTGATGGTGTCTGTTTGGCTTCAGATACTCATCAGTGAAACCATATAAGTAACTCTCAGTGCTTATTTTCAGCCCAAAGAACTGACAGATATAGCAACCTTATCTGCAGTATTCCCAAAAAGCAAATCCCAGCAGTCAGTAAATTGTGACTGTGTAGTTTATTGTTCAACTCACAAATGGAGGAGTGGTATGCACAGCTGTTAAGAAAGGAAATGAAGGAACAGTGTGAGAGAGAGACAGAAGCAGCTGCAGGGCAACTAGGGAAGAAGCAGCAGTGGGGGCAGATCCCAGTAATACCCCCCCCCCCCCCAAAAAAAAAAAAACCCACCTATGTGCAGTTCATCTGCTTGGAAACCTCTCAGTTCTAGCATATTTTATTTTGATTTGGAACTGGAAGGATCACTCTTGATGAGTGTTAATCATGATTCAATCAGGATCATGTTTTATAGCATGACTTGAAATTAAGAAACAAGCTCTTACACTGCGCAGAAAAAACCCAAAAGAGTGAAATAACAAGGCAAAGAAGAGAACAGTGATCACATTTATAAAAGCAACCCCCAAAAAAAAAGAATATTAGTAGGCATTTTTCCCCAAGAAAATGGAGATAGTAGAAATGACAATGCAAAACAGAAAAGGCATAGGGAGGAGAGACAAACAGTGAGAAGATAGAAGACTAACAGGGGGGAAATGAGAATGAACAGATGGAGCTGGGAAAAGGCAGAGAAAAGAATGCTATGTCAATTTTGGCAGAAAATACAGGGCTGATATAGGTGATTCAGACTTACTGATGGACTAGAAAATAAAAACAAAACTGAAAATAAAACAAAGGAAAGAATGGGGGGGGGGGTGTTATGATTTTGGCAAAGTAACAGCTCCAGATAGTGTCAACAGTTCCTTTCTCTAGCTATAGAAGTCAATGAGTTCAATACACACATATTTCTCCTTGTCTCTTCTAATGTATTTTTTGTTCTCTGCAATGCCTAGCACATTTTCATTTTTTGCAATGGCAAAAATCCATCCTCTACCAATTATTATTAATTTCAAATCTGAAATATTATTATTTCAAAACTCTCCCTACTCTGCTAAGAGGATGGAAAACGGTGCAATATTAAATGTGATCAGTTTCTAGAGATGAGCAGAACTTTAGAAAATATTAACTGTGGGAACAGAAGGCAGATCCAATTTGCTTGAAAAGCAAGCCAATGCTGCTTCCTCGAGCCCTATGTCCCTTACCCTATTTCTTATGTTAGCCTTATAAGCTAACCAAATATATTCTTCCTAGATGGATTCATAAATGTGCAGCAAGATAGAAATCTGCAGTTGCAAATAATAAATAATACGAAAGTGACTAATGCTAGCTAAAGAATAATTTTATAATGGCAATCTTTAAATCTGAGCACAAAATTCAACTTTCTCACTAAATTATGTGGCTCAGGATCAGGCACTATTTCTATGAGAAAGACAGAAAGATCAATTGTACAATGCACTTTGATTAAACAGACTCTACCAAAAGATTCAGTATTAAAATCCCATTGATCGGTGTTGTTTACTCTGAAGTTGTTATGTTTCTGAAGTTCAGAAGATAACACAAGCTTATTTAGCTAAACAATATATCTGCATCAGCAAAATTCAAAGTTCGCAGAAGTCTGAGCAAAAAAAAAGGAGGAAGACCCTTCAGAACTCTCCAATAAAAACTGCATAAAGGATAGAATTCTGGATAATGTATGTCTGACTAAATAAAATGTAACAAAAGCACTTTGAATGATGTAACTATTTGCCATTCAATATACTTAATAAATTTAGTGCAGGCACAACTTGAATGTATTTAGTGTTAGAAATAATTAGCTATTAAGAGTTTCTCATATATTAATTAAGTTTAACATATACTATTACAGGACAGGACTACATTTTTCCAGAAACATCTGGAAATCTAATGACCACTTAAAATGTATTGTCGAATAGACTATAAAGGATACTCTGGCATAGGTACATAGCTGTTATTAACACAGAAGGAGAAAAAATGAAATACTTGTTACAGATCATAAAACATTCAAATTTTGTGTATTAAGACTTCGTGATTCCATTAACTGAAAGGTTTACTGCTTGTCTAATGAGTTTAGTTTCAGGCTGAAAAGCCTTCTTATTCATTCAAGCATTTTACCAGTTGAAATGATCAAGCAGAGCTGTGCACCCGTTTTGATGACTTTTCTAGACTGACATTTAGTGAATGATATAATAAAAAGTTATGTTTATACATGAACTTACAAGTATCGAGAGAACAGTAATTCATTTTTTAAGTATATAATAGTGAAAACAAAAAAATAAGAACAAATGCAAATCAGTACATACTACTATGGATTTTTTTAAATAAACAAAGATCAAAAAGCAAGTGAAGCAGTACATTGATATGGCATGCCTCTTGATTAACAGGGTCATTAGGTCAGCAGAGACCATACCTTTAATACATAAGAGGCCTGTGTTCAATCTTTCCAGGACTGATTCTTGCCCTATGATCAAGTTTTACTAAGGAGACTTATTCATGTTATTTATGAAATAACACTTATTTTTTTATTTCCAAACTAGACAAGAATTTTGCAAAGCTGCTGACAGTTAAGTACTCACTAAAGGACATTTTAGATGTCCTCCTTCATGCTCTGCTATGTGTGACTTTATTCTTGGCCCCTTGCTTTTTCCTTGAAAATTTGAGCAAAGAAACATTTTCTCAGAAAATAACTCGCAATGTTATTCATTAAGAGATCAAATCTTGACTTGGCTGCATGCTTGATTTTGTCCTGCACTTTTCTGAGAAAACATAATTAGAAGCTGGAATCTATTGGAAAGCTATTTCTATACACGTGTACACACACACACACACACACACACACAGAGAGAGAGAGAGAGAGAGAGAGAGAGAGAGAGAGAGAGAGAATAGCATATGTTTACATTTAGGAAAGTCTTGTAAGGCTTGAAGCATTATGTGCTAAGAAAATTACCATTCAGCAGATATCAAGAATATTTTTACCTTTTTTGCAATGTTGATGTCAAAAAATGGTTTGTTACGAACACTAAAAGGTTCTTGTGCTTTGTCAATTTGACCATTTTTCATTTTATCATGCCGTGGGAGTATAATCTCTTTTTCTATACATGACAGGCGAATATTAAAGTCACATTCTCCAACTGGTTGTGCCTGCCAAATTAAAATATCAGAAGTCCATGAATACACAATTTATAAAAATTAGATAACATGAAAGAAAATTTTCACTTAGGTGTGTTTAACTCAACAATGATTTTCTAACATTGTCATAATTTTGCTCTAGCGATAAGATTAGAAAGAAAAATAATGACTGGAAGAGAAACGGGACATCTTTTCTTTCGGAGTTCAAATAATTCTGAAAACAGTTTTATATTTACTGATGTAAAAGGACACTTCAAACTATGGACAAATCTATCATTTTATTAACAGTCTGCTTTCTTTTTTGTGCCTAGTACAATATTCCTAAGTCTGCATAGCAGGTTTTCAATTATCTTACATTTTCCTTCATATTTCTCTGTGCTCCATTTTCATTACTCAACTTCTCTTTTTAGTCTTTCTTAAGTACGTACATTCGGTCCACGTTAACCCTTCTCTTGCTCTGGAGCTTCTAGAGCAGGAGTGTCAAACTGGATTTCTTCGAGGGTCGGATCAGCATTATAGTTTTCCTCTGCGGGCCAGGCCAGGACGGGGAAGGGGGAGAGGAGAGGATGGACGTCTCCTACAGCACCCTGTTTTGGCTGGAAGAGTGGTGCAGGAGGCTGTCCAGGCCAAAAACGGGCCACACAGGAGCTGCACACAGCCCCCCCCCATGCCCCGTTTTCACTAGCAGAGGCACTGCGGGCTGGTCCTTTGCTATTTTCAGGCCAGCCCTGCGGGCCTTGAGTTTGACACCCTTGCTCTAGAGCAGGGGTGTCCAACCTTGGCAACTTTAAGACTTGTGGACTTCAACTCCCAGAATTCCTCAGCCAGCTTTGCTGGCTGAGGAATTCTGGGAGTTGAAGTCCACAAGTCTTAAAGTTGCCAAGGTTGGACACCCCTGCCATAGAGCCTCTATCAATAGTATTCCATATTCCCTCCGCTTTCCTTATATAAGCTTATCCTCCCATTGATTTCTCCACTTCATTTCTTTCCCATCACCCATCTATAATATTCTTTTTACTGCATGAACACCTACAATTAAAAAGGTGTTCACTCTCCCAGTAAGGTGGTAACGTGCAGGTGGATAATGCATTACAGTCTGTTTATTACAGTGGATCAAAAAAAGCTAATGTCAGCTGAATCAGAGATGTATTGGAGACTAACAATATAAGCATTCCCTATTCCTCCCTTCATTTACACACAACTGCATTTATTAATCGCAACAAACCTTAAATGAGGCCAATAAAACTATAAGTACGAATTCAGAGGGCAGTAAAATATATAGAGAGAAAGAGCTGTAATTATCCTTATGGTTTGCAGGGATAGTCTACTACAACAAGCATGGAGTACAACATTTAACCTTGCCCAGAAATTCCAACAAAAAATAGCAAATGTAACAGTCACTCTGACCAGATAATTTGACAATGCATACCTTTTCCTTCAAAAAATACATAATTTCCCCCTAAAGTAGGTTATAATTTCCTTATTACTTAAATCTTTTTTAAAACCACTCATTAGAAGTGCCAGTCCCACTGTCCTCCTACATTTCCCTAAATTGTTTCCTTTCAAACTTCCTTTCAAGTAGGAATGGAAGACACCCATTCCTACTTAAAACAACACTAAAAAAATATATGTCTCAGTATAGAAGTTTCTTTATTAAGACTGGTATGTAAACTTCAAGTTTAAACTATTATCTTAAATACAAATATATTTCTTATGCCAATGACATATTAATATTAAAATGTATTTAATATCAGATTTCACTTTCATTTCTTAATGCTCAATAATGAAGTTGGATTTCTACAAATAGCACAGCTAACTAAATTGAGGGCTACAAATATTATAAAGTAATGTATATAACAGTGGTGGTTAACATTTTTCGGCTCCCGTGCCAATAATTGTGCGCATGCAAGTGTGCCAGCACCCAGAAGGCAATGCATACTGGGCCCCCCAACTCCCCCTGTGCATGCGTGCACGACCCCTCCCTCATGCGGCACGCATCTGAACATGCGTGCGATTCACCCCCATGCGCATCTCTGTGCATGCACATCTGCACATACACGTCTCTGCACATGAGCATGTGATTCCCCCTTGTGCACCACGCGTCTTTGCGCATGCGCAAGTGATTCCCCCTCGCACACTGCACATCTGCTCATGTGCGCACAATTTCCCTCTTGCGTGCGAACCCCTTGTGCGCAGTACATCCCTGTGCATGCGTGCATGTCTCCCATGCACCCCCCCTCTGCCCCTGCACATGCGCGCCAGTTACCCAACAATCAACTGTCGGGCAGCGGCATGCACACGCATGCGCAGTAGGGCTCTTCCGGGTGACCTCTTGCATGCCGAGGGAAATGTCTCTGCATGCCACTTCCGGCACACGTGGCATAGGTTTGCCAACACGGGTGTATAAGAAAGGATTTGTGTATATGTGTGTCTCTGTGTATGTGTCTGTGTGTGTGTGCATGTGTGTGTGTGTGTGCATGTGTGTGTGTGTGTGTGTGTGTATGGCTCTCTCTCCCCCCCCCCCCTCCGTTTCCATGTTCACTCAAATATAGAAGCTGGCTATACACATACACACACATCCATATAGCAGAAAGTTAACTAATCTGATCCAGATAGACTGCACTTGAGAATATTTAAATAACTCAAAAGTAAAAATGGCTAGTCTAATCAAAATATTTAACTTTTACCAAAAAACTGGAAGCAGCAATTTTGATACTAGAGTTTTAAATAAGTCTAGGGGGATTCATGGAATGGTGAAAATGTATGTATTTCTGTATGTATTTATTAAGCCTTTAGATGCACAACTCTTGTTCAAGAGGAATCACTATGGATTTTGCAACAATTTTTCTGTGTAATTTCAGAGTATAAAGAAAAACATGGATAGAAATGATTCAAAAGAAATGGCATAATCTGAGGAGCTGTCTCGCCCCAATGGGAATGGCTCATTCCACTCACTCCAGTGGAAGAGGCCCAGGGGTGGGATTCAAAAAGCCCGGCTCTGGGGGCCCTCCAGAAGCCAGAAACAGGTCCACATCCTTATTTCCATAATTTCCGCCCTCCCAAAGCCTCCACGCAACTGCCCTTACCTGCATCCAAAACAGGCTGCGTGGAGACTGCTGGGAGGGGAGGGGTGGGTGGGGCCAGCCAGACGGTTCAACTACCGGTTTGGCAAACCAGATGTAAATTTAACATCTGATTCGCCCAAACCAGCCCGAACCGGCTGAATCCCACCCCTGAAGAGGCCTACTTTGGATCCTTCTTTCAATGAATTTCAGTTGGTGGAGTCCGAGAAAAGAACCTTTCCTTCTGTGGCCTCACCCTTTGGAATATTCTCTCTCCAGAGGTGAGGTCGGCCCACACACTCCTGGCTTTCTGAAAGAGCCTTAAGACCTGGTTCTGCCAATAGTGGTGTTCTATGCTGGAGATGGCAGGTGGACTAGAGAGAAGATCCCCAGCCACAAGTCACCAGTCTTTTGGTTTTTAGTCTTTAGATAATCTTCTTAATTTTAATTGTGTTGTATTTTATTTTTATCATCCTATAAGCCATCTAGAGTTGCTGCAACAGGGAAATGGGCAACATATAAATTTAATTAACAATGGAGCTTCCCACATCATTCTGATAGAATCTTTTACTGAAAATTTGAACAAACAATTCGTGATAAAGTAAGCCACCTATTTGCAGTTTAGAGCCACATTTAGTGTTTCCTTGGTTTACCAGTAGGATAATGATACAGAGTAAACAAGTCACAGAATTTATGTGGGACCAGCCATTATTTTTTTGGCTTTGTTGGAAAGGAGTTTCTTCTTTTGAAATCGACTTAAAGTTTCATATATTTCCTGACAATTTTCAACTACCTCATGTCTGACTGTCACATATGTCCCAGAGGTCACTGGTTGTTCATTATGTGGACCAGCCACTTTATGATCAAACTGATTAAGGAACAGAAAGTAATTCCTTGACCCAAACCTCATACACTCATAGTACATTATATTGATATATAGGGGAAAGTCAATATCTCTCATATAGCCACTGAAAAAAGAGAAAATCTTGTGCCAATGCTACATGTATAAGTTATCTGTATATCAAAATAAAATTTAAAAAATCAGATCACACTCAATTCTATATCATTATTTATAAACTATCATGATAAGTTTTGTCTAAGAGAACAAAGTAATAGTAACCTATTTCCTAATAATGAACAATATGTGTGAAGAGACTATCCATTATTCTCAAGCTATATTCAACATGCTAGTACACTGTCATGGTCATTTACATCATGGCATAAATAACATCAATCACGCCAGATGTTATAAGATTACAGAAAAATTAATTCATCTCATCCACCTCATGTAAATGGAAATTCGATACGCTGCATCTCAAGTGTGCTGGGGGGAGTCAATTAAATTGAGGTTTTAGAGTGTATCATTTTTGCAGCATATTAGATTTTAGCTTAAATTTAAATGTGAGGCGCAAAAATTTTAAACACTTCTCCATTAAAGTATTTGCTCAATTTCACAGTTCATTTGAAATAATTAGTAATACTTTACTAGCAACAAAATAATACTGAAGCATAAGAAATAAAATAAAGTTCTATTAGTGGGAAAGTCTCAGTAGTTATAAGACCACAAACTGGACACTGTATGGGGTAGACCAAATATGTGTAAAGACCAGACAGGAGCAATGTAAGCTGGCAGACAGGCAACTCAATTATGCCACCATCAGGCAAAGTTGCAATTGTGTTTGAGAAAGAGCTGCCAGAACCATTGGTCAATCATCAGCACAGAAACCTTATCAATTCAGGAAAGAATGATATCTACTATATTTCCCCAGAACAAAGGCAAACCCAATTTTATGAGCTCTGCCCTTCCCTCAGAACATGTGGCCAGGAAACATAGTATAACAAAAGTCCTGTGAAAACCTAGGTTTCTACTAGATTGCCAACTTTAACTAAAATCAGTCCTTCCTCTCCCCAATGAACACATGTACAAGACATATTTTTGTGTACATGTGT